GAGGAATGAGGTAACGATATCAAAATATTAATTTTCTTGTCCTGGCAAGTAAAACGAATTGTCAGACAAGAGTATAACACAATTTTTTGATTGCCCAAGTTAATCAAACGTGCTATCTAACGCGCACTTTTTATAATCCCGCTCGAGCCACAGGGGTGGCCAACATGAAAAAAGAGGATATCCTCAGTTCCAAGAACCGCAAACACTGCCCAGCATTCTTTACCTACCAGCTTGCAGTATTACACTTGTGATCGAATTGATTCTTTTACGGAAGGGAGAGAAAGGGAAAAGAAGGAAGAGAAGAGGAGAGAAGGAGAAGAGAGAGGAGGGAGGAAGGAGAAGAGGAAGAAGAGGAGAGAAGGAGAGGAGGGAGAGAAGAGAAAAGAGAAGGGGGGGAAAAGAGAGAGTTCGATGAATACCACATCATCTTACCACATCATCTTAGGTGGTCAAGGCAACGAAGGATAATGTTAATAACATTATGATTATTGACGAAGCGAGTGATGGTGATGTCTTATATGGCAATCGTTAAATAAGATAAAAATTTGTATACGTAAATAATCAAAAACCTGTGCCAGTACTCTTTGTTTGTGAAAATAATACTTTAAATGTTATTCCTAACGGTTTAAATAACTTGAAATAATAGGTAAATGTCAAAAACTTGTTATTTGTTGCCATGGGAATACCGTGAAGTTGCTCGCTTTCCAACCAACTTCATGATCAACGCGGCAAAAGAAGTATAACTTCAGAAATCCGCGTGAAATTTATGTTTGTGAAACGTCCTTACAACACAGGATAATGATATCCTAAAGTAAGGGCAATGTTTTTAAAGAAAAAAAAAAAAAAAAAAAAGAAATTATAAAATAATTGATGTTAAGATATATAGTAATTAATAATTAGTGTTTAGTCCCTTTTTCAAAAGCTCCCATGTTAACCTTTACCAAAAGTTGTTTTTAGTATTTGTTGTTATAGAGGCAACAGAAATACATCATCTGTGAAAATTTCAACTGCCTAACTATCACGGTTCATGTGATACAGCCAGGTGATAGACGGACAGACAGCGGAGTCTTAGTAATAGGGTCCCGTTTTACCCTTTGGGTAAGGAAGCTCAAAATCATAATATCATCAGGAACCGAGTCGATGACCTTAGTGAATTCGCCAACGATGAAAAGCAGAATTATATTTCGTTAGTTTTTGCCAATGGAATATAAATAAATCTGACTGTATAGTTAGCACTAGCAGTCATATCAGAGGGGTTATCTTTGCTATGTAAGGTGAGGTTTTCCCTAAGACCTTAAAACTGATGTACGGTTCTATTTTCGAATTTAATTGACAAACCAAGTGGCGTAGTTGATAGTGAGTCTATCTCTTACGTCAGAGGGTGTAGTTTCAATCGTGGGGATTGAAACCACACCCTCTACATACTACCGGAAAAGTATTGTGTGATGAACATAGCGTTTTTCTGGTGTCTGGGTGTTTATATAACTGTAATATGCATTTATTTACAAAATAAAAGTACGTTCAAGTATGTTTATCAGTTACGCATTACCCATATTTCATGTTTTCAACGTTGTGTACAAATATGTCCCGAAATGTTATTGATTATTGTTCCGCAACCGATGAAGGGCTTACAAATCACCAATTGAGTTACCCCTCGACCGCTTCAAGTTTAGCCAGATCTTAAGTTTGTACTTTTCCAGTCAATGTGTTCTAATCATTTAGCAACAGTTGCTACGACGCTTTACGATTGCGTCTACAGACGACTACCTTTTGTTGGCTGGATCAACCACCGTTAGCCTTAGGGGCCTTTACAGATCCACCGGGCTGGAGCTGGCTGGACACTGAGGTCGCTTAGCCTGTACCTCGTTTTAAAAAAAAAGGACTGACATAATTGCTGTCACATTTGTATGTTTTCACAGTGCCAGTCGTAGGGAACTGTAAAATCTCTGAAGTGTCAACAAGTCTTTTCGTTTTTATTTATTCAAAAGCCGCCCAGGCATCGCACGGGTGCAGTGCATTATATATGCATAAAAACCTTCCTCTTGAATCACTGTACCCAGTAAAAAAGCGCATCAAGATGCGTTGCGTAGTTTTAAAGATACATAGGGACAGACAGACAGCGGGACGACTTTGTTTTATACTATGTAGTGATGAAACGAATACTGCCGCTTACACTATTATCTATCACGTAATAAACTGTATATTTTGAAGTGTGATATCTGCGACCAGATGGTGTATCAGCTGCCAAAATCCAGTTGGAACGCGATCCGTTATAGTTACTAGCAGGTTTAACTGTACGAGTTAAATTTAACTAATCAATGATGTTATATTAAAGACGGCGCATACTGCGCGGCGTTTTACAACTGTCCCGCTTTACTTTATATGACATAATTGTGTGAATGCGACGGATGATATTGAAAGTATGATACGGAAAGAGATAGCAGTGTTTATAGAATTGCAATTTAATCACACCAAGCAGTGGCGGATTTAGAAATTAGCCGCCAATAGGCTGTTAAACTTTTTCCGCCCCTGACCTCTGAAATTCGAACCTTAGTTCGCAATCCTATTAATTATATTTGTAATGTTAATAAAATTGCAATTAATTTATGCTCTGTAGTCTTCATTACATCTTTCATTACAGTTTTCTCTCCCTATTAGCAGGATTTTAAAGTAGGGGTTCATTGTGCCAGTTTAAAGATTACTTTTAACAACCAACGATTTAGTGAAGATTATGAACTTCCAGCCTACTTAGCCTGCTGGTAAATCCGCCACTGCCAATAGTGCCTCGAAATTGAGGCAATAATGTCATCATTATCTACATCGTATTATGTAATATCATCGTAGCTAATGGTCAAAACGTCTTGTTCGTGACCAGCGGTAAACCGTCATACCCTAAGAGTGTAATCAAAGTCTTAAGTAAAGGAAAGGTGAGTAGCGAGAGAAATTATCCTGTAGTTTGGCCACGCAAAAGTCTTCGCTGTTGCACAAATGGGCAGGTCCCTCCGGAGACGTATCACGACCTCACAGAAGACCGGCGTGAATTGGAAGTGTTATACTTCTGCGTTTCGTCAGCAGAGTGAGTTAACCGGGGGCGAATTCATTGAAAGCTGGCAACGCAGTAGCGCTACCATTGTTGCAAGTCCATGGCCAGCGGTTATCACTTAACGTCAGGGGAACCGCCTGCTCTGTCGACAGATGTTTGTTTTATCTGTCCGATGACCGACATTAAGTATAAGATAAATTTGAAGGAAGACCGACTTATTCAATATACACGCTCTTTACTATGTTGACATTGATCATAACATGACAATACTTCGATTTACTATAATATGAACTTTTAGTTTAGTTGGTTTCTCGCAAAAAACATCGTAATTTTTAATTCTTTCTTCTAATTTTAGGAGTATGCTAGATGCTGTTGATGAAGATGGAAGTTGCTAGATTTCCACATCACTGGCTGTGAGTTACATTCGAATAATGATTGGTTCTATTGATTGGTATCTGAGAACTTCCATGCGAAATGAAGTAAAATAATCCCTATAACGTAGGACATTCCAATTCTGAAGTAGGGTATTATCTAAAATCAAAGAAGTATGCGCGACTCATCTAATATTATAATGTTTTATACATTGTATAAACATTATAATATTAGATGAGTACACTATGTACATTTACTTATTATATGATTATACATGGTATGATTCATATTAAGTGTATGCTCAAATTAAGTAGGAATGCGTGCCGCCAGTATGGCTATATCAATGCCCTTTCGAATTTCGTAGAAGTACGCTTCTGCGGTTGCGTTAATAGCTAACGTTTTATGTTCTTCTTAATAGATACGAAGCGAACATTTATTAGTCATAAAATGTTAAATGAAATGAGTCATTTTAACTGCACTTCCACCATTCATTTGATATGTAACACTAATAATAAATTCGTTTAATAAGTGAACATTTCGTTTACGGACCATGAAATAGGAGAAGTACATAATGTGATCATTATGGTATTTGTAAGTCATAAGGCGGTTTGTAACTTTTGTTATTAAAGGAGAATTAAATTAAGAACACATCGATTTTATGTTGTTATTTTTTTCGGTTTTTTTACAAATTCTTTAAATATATCGTTAGAAATATAACAGGCGGTCCCGATCACGTTGCTTCTCAGTTAGCAAAAAAAAAACAATACAGAATATTTCAAAAAAAGAAACAATACAGACAATTGAATTGAATTCTTTGATAAACATACTTTGGAAGGATGCTTAGGCATTTAGTGCCAGCAGCATTCTTTGAGACTATGCCTCAGTTTAGATATCAGTTATTTGCTAATATGCTCATTAATAAGAAATGTCAGCGATGGTGATACAGAACGGCTTGGTAAATTTCATTGTACACCAAACAACTATTGTTTAATAAATAAACCAATAAGTGTCACCTCACTAAACAATTTGGAATTTGAAGGAAAATGCTAGATAATATGTCCTTGCACCGAGTACGAATAACTTTAGCATTACTCGTGTAACAGATTTTTGGGAAGCGTTTTATAATAAAATTATACTTGTACATGTTATTGAATTATCGAATGCATGTCAGTCTATGCAATGTGTATTCCGACACCTAAACCTTTCTGGGATCCGGTCGGTTCTTCATTGAGCTAAATTCGTAATTTTTAATCGAAAAGTTGCACTCTCTAATGGATTTTACTTGTCACAATTGACAAAATATTACTAAACTTCAGTTACAAACTGATTGCCTTCACATTCACAATTTTCATTGTGAAACATTCGTTAGGTTTTGACTAACTTTCCAGTTACTATGTGGTAATATTGAGGCAAGGCAAGCTTTAGCTTTAGAAAAAAATAGATTGATGTTCCTTATAATAACAGATTTATAGTCCGAGAAATTTTGCAATTGTAAATTCTGTCTATGCTGAATTTTCCCGGCGTTGGGGTAAGACTGAGGAAGCATTGCAGGGCTGAGGTTCCAGACGTTTATCAGACCACTCACCGCGTCGTTCCAGTCCTCCGCGTAGTCGCCGTCCGCCAACTTGTCCCCCTTCTCATCATCAGGGAGCTCCTTCATCTTCTGCAGCTCCTTCACGACATCGCGCACCTGCTCGTCGCTCATGTCTCCGAACAGCTGCATCATCGTCGCCAGCTCCTCGTCCTCGTCCAAGCGGTCCGGCGCGAGCGCGTCCAGCTTGTCCAGCTTCGCGTTAAGCTTGTCGCCGAGCCTGTCGCGGCGCTGCACCGGCGCTAGGGTGAACCGCTCGAGCTTCTCGTACAGCCTGTCCAGCCGCCTGGCGAACGACGGCGGCTCCGTGACGTAGGCGCTGGCGCAGCTGTGGGCCGCCGCGAAGAGCAGCAGCAACGGTAGACGCGACATGTTTCGACCGCGGCCGGTACACGACTGGCGCGCACATGGCCGCCACGTTGCGCGCGCGCAGGGTGAACACACCGCGAGTCGGCCGAGCGGTCTCATTTGACACTACGAATTTCACGTAGTTCAATGTAGCGGGTACCGATCGGCGATCTTGTTTATTTATTTAACTTTATAACTTTTGCACTCCAACTCGTCTCGGAGAGTAATCACGGGTACTGATGCTTACAAATCTAACCTTAGAGGCTAAATTAGTAACCTAATGGATCTGGTAGTGTGAACAATTTTTATGTACGAGTAGTGTTAAAATTTCAAATTTCTTACTCTAATGTGGACAAGCTCATGCGTTAGTGGTTACAAAATTATAGCATACTAAAACTAATGCAGTAGAGCTACCAATAATAGTAATATATTATGATTTAGTGTCAGTCCAAGCATCTTTGTTAGCTTTCAGCGGTGGGACGTCAAAATTTCTTTAGAATGGTTTGAATTAACATTTTCTTATTTTGTTTGTTTGGTTTTGAAGTTAAGGCCGATGATAAACTACACCACTTCAAAACATTAATTTAACATAGCATCACATTATTAGGTGATGTTTACTTGTTGTTAAATTAAACTATTGTACGGGACAGTCTGTCCTGTGACCATGAACGCTGCGAATTTAAAAATCTAGTTAAATGCGATAAAATCCGTAAATTAGTTTCATTTATTCATTAAAAAGAAGAAATAAGTAATGTTTACTTATTATTATTATACTATAAATGGTTCGAGATGACGGAAAATAAAATCAAAATGAAATTCGAAGAAATCCGTAAATTAGTTTTATTTAACAATTAAAAGAGAAAAACGACAAAGTTTCTAAAAATACATAATAGTTTAGGAAATAAGCTATTATTTTTGCACCTTCTCACAATATATGATATACATTCATTACTACCTTCCGTTTCAGATAGGAAGCGGATCCTTTCATAAGTGAGGATTTGCTTCAGTGCGTCCACAACTTGGCTCTTTACCCTGCCGTCCACCTCGATGCTGTGGACCCAGGCTATTAATACGCCCGAGCCTTGTGGTTCATTCATGCCCAGTGAAGGGTTCTGCGTTCGAAACCACGCAGTCACTGCCTTTAATCATACAGCTAATGGGCAGCAACACGGCTTGTTAGCAAACAAAGGGTGCTAAACCAAAAAATCAACTTTTAGTGTAGAAAAAACATTTTTCGGTGCGCCTTTAGTGGTAGAGGAACAATTTTTGCTGTTTACGATAGCGTTCTTCTAAGTTTTATTTCTTAGACTCCTAAAAAAAGATACTCACACAGGATACAGGATTCGTCCTAGTTCAAGGGTCAATCCACCATAATCTATTATTGTGTTTCTGTTTACGTGTGTTTTGTATCGTATTTTATTATGGTGAGGAATAAAGGATTATGTGTTAGTTTAAGTAATAGCGTGTTCAGTGATGTGTTTTCTTACCAGCTGGTATTAACTTAAAGGTTTTGTCGCAATTAATCTTAACGATAGTAGTCGGTCTGATGCTTTTTAGTTGTAGTGTAACGCACAGTAGAACGTAAAGTAGAAGCGTTGCCACTCGGGATTAACATTTATTTTTAGCGCTAGTTTCTGCATTCAAGATTTTACAAATTATGTAAATGCATGAGCAGAGCAGCTCTCGCTGTGGAGCTCGGACCTGCGTCATGTAGTTAAATTCAAATTTTTAGTTTCTTTTGGTGGACTGTCCACTATCCTGCTCCCAATAGACTGGCAACGTTACTGATTATTATGGGTTAAAACTTGGGGCGCTTCTTAATTAAGATGACAAAGTATGCAAGCTTGCTTCTGCCATAAAAAATATTTGCTTTATATTTAATTAATATTCGAAATTTGAAAGATTTCCAAGCAAGGTTACTCGATTTCTTCACAGTATGTGATATCATAAAATGTATTTACACTGTCTTGCTTTGAAAGGAAAAGGAAGAGATGTTTCCATACAAAAGCTTCTTTGAATATTGTTCCAAATATCAAAAGCTGAACTTGTTTCTCATCAGGTGTTGACGTCAATAAGTAAATAAAGACCCTGGTCGATCTGAGGCCTTTAGAATGAGAAGCATTAATAAGGCTTGATGAGGAAATTGGAACGGATTTTATGTCATATATGTCTATTATCAATGTTTACCTTTTATTTTTCTTCTAGCTTACTACTTTTTTCTCTAAGCACCAGTAAATTGTATTTAAATAATTCTCTAACTTTGAGATGAAAAGACAACGTAACTTTTTGCAACGCAAAAAATTTATTAGGTTTCTTACCAGCGGCAAACTTACGGCAAACCGTATGTTCGAAATGATAGTTGCAATGTCATTTTCGATTGCTCAACGACTATGCAATGATTCTATAACTCTTGCCCTTTGGCTTTTTCTCTTTGAATCGGTCAGATTTACTATCAACAAAAACGTAGGTACGTCTCAACATCAAGAATAGAATATTTGTTCAATTATTGCAGGAAATAATGTGACAAATATATTGATAGTTCCACTACCTTTTGTTTACCTTTAAACATTACTTAATACTTAGGGCATTTGTTACATTTTTTTAAAAGGCATTAGAGGCTTTGGGCGTTTATGTTTTACTGGCAATACTTCAACTGGCTCAGTTTAAACTTGTTACACCTAGAAGGCTAGCTTTGTTAGTCAATAGATTTCCAATAATGGAACACAAACAAGTTGTGCTATGCCATTTAAATTACAATTTACAGTTAATATTTACTACTCGTTTAGTTTCAGCCGGTTGGGCAATTATGTTACAGCGAACAACTTGACAATATTTCGTAATTCGCTCAGATAACATTTCTACCATACAGAAGGTTGTTACTGCTCTAATATAAACCGTACTCTTTCTCTTATCCTAAAAATATCAGACAAAAGTATCATATTTTTTTTATCAATAAATGTGTTCATTTAAATATTATCTATGAGTTACTATTACCTACTTTAGAATAGTATATTTAAATCTACATGTGTATCTAGTTAAAAGTTTCTAAGAATTGGTTAAAACTATAATTGAGTAAGTTTTAAATGCTATCAGAGACTGAAGCCACAAACATTGTGAAACAAAGACAACAACCACTTGACTGATCATAAAGTAAGATAGCAGTTAACTAACCAATACATAATAAAACCGAACCAGTGCGTAAACCAGCATATTACGATGAAGTCATAAAGCAACAAGTTGGTAAAAACTAAACAAGGCTTTACTCACATAACCAATATGCATACCACCCTCTAAACATTGAAGTCTATTAATGATAAGGCAATTTAAGATAGTACAAGAAACAGGCCTTCCCCAAACAATTCCCGTAAACACGACCTGTTAACGACTGACGACAAGCCTATCGCAGATCGGGCTGTCAACCAAAATGCGTTAAGTCGCTCTCATCTCCTATCTCGCGTCTGCCATTCTTTCCAACGCGGTCACTGTTCTCGGCAAACTGATAAACCGGCAGTTTTATTATGCAAACACAACTTAGATTCGAAGTCGCCTGTGAGTCGTCACACGAATTAATTCATGTCGATGAATGTTTGGCGAATGAATGCTATTCGGCGACGTGGCTCCGTTTTTTGGGTTCTGTACCCAAAGGGTAAAATGGAACCCTATTAATAAGTTTGTCTGTCTGTCCGTCTGTCAACAGACTGTATCTCATGAACCGTGATATTAGATAGATTTTCACAGATGATGTATTTATGTTGCCGCTATAACAACAAGCGGTCCGTAGCCGTAAACAACCTAGCCAACACATTAGCACCAAGACTCAGATGTTGTAGCAACCCCACCTAGATGGGATAAGGGAGGAAAAAGTAAAAGGAAAAAAAGTAGTATCACGACCTCACAGAAGACCGGCGTGAAGTAGAAGATTACACTTTTGCGTTTCGTCTGATGAGTGACGTAGCCGGGGCCCACTTTACTTAAACGTGGGAACGCATTTGCAACCCTAAGGGTTTTGCTAATGTCCATGGGCGGCGGCTATCAATGAACATCAGGTGAACCGCCAGCTCGTTTGCCAATTATTCAGATAAAAAAAATAAAAACGTGGACTCCTAGTGAAATTTTCTTTAATTTGAATATAAAACACTTATGACACATATTCAAAATTTGTAGAATAATAATATAAAATAATTACTTATAAAATTTAAATATTGACACATATTTATATGATCTTTTTGAAACGCTGTGTAGTTCTAGATAAATATTTCAATATTTATTCCAATTTCTTTTCGATAACGATAGTAACAAAATGTCTATTTCTATACGTCAGAAATCTCGATCTCGACGTTGCAAAGTTGCGAGTTTTACCGTGTCGCTTCTATAATACAAGCATTCTGATAAAGGTGATATCATACAAAGGTAATTGCGTTATGCGGCTGCATACCAGCACGCGTTAGAATCAATATTAGCGTTTGGGATAACGATTACACTGTAAGGCCTGTGCAAGTGCTTTTGTAACGGTCGCTGCTATCAAAGAGTTTAGTTTTGCAATTGAATTCTACTCGTATTCAACATGCTTATCAATCAAGTATACCTTTAAAGGTAAATATATTCTTACTTGCGAATAGAGTTCACTTACCTATAATCTGATCTGTTAAAATATTTTATGAAGTTACACGAAGGCCTTATGAAGGTAACTTCATGTGTTACTGTATGTAGTCGACAGTCGGCTTGTTGTTACAGCAACAACAGAAATACATGATCTCTGAAAATTTCAACTGTCTAACTATCACGGTACATAAGATATAGCCTGGTGACAGACGGACAGACAGACAGCGGAGTCTTAGTAATAGGGGCCCGTTTTACCCTAAAAACGAAGAACTCTATGATTGTAAATGTTTATCCAGAAAACACTTGCAATTTGTTCACTATAGTTAGTCAAAGGGAGACTTTAGAAACTATCTTTTAATATAATATAAACTGAGGTAATTACAACCGTTCTATTTGACTACAGACCGATCGAGAGCGTAAACGCTGTTGGAATTTTACTATGAAGAGTTTAAGACCACTAACGCTAATAGTACGCAAACACCATGGAGCTATTTACGTTTTCGACTTAAATGTGTCAA